CTGAACTTACAGCGATTGTTGCTTCGTTCATTTTGTTGTCACAGAAAGCCAAACGCTCAGGAGAGGTCCATTCACCTTCCATGTCCAGGTAAGATACATAGATGTCTTCCGGGAATTGGTTCAGTTTAGGATCTTTGTATTCGTTTGAACTCTGATCTTCCCACTCACGGCGAGAAGTAAAGTAAAGCGAAGCTCCATCCAATGAAACTACTGGAGAAAACTCCGCTGCTTTAGTATTTACAGTGCTTCCAACATTTTTTACAATTGCACTTTTCGGATGTGCGATCAATGTTTCGGCAATATCACATTGTTTCAACATCAATTCTGCTTCTTTCACACGCTCGGATTTCTTCGAAGAATTCGCAAGGAACATGTTAAAGTACTCGCGTGCTTTATCCAATTGTTCGTCGATATGATAACAACGAGCAAGGTGGAAATACGCATCAACCGGAGCACTTTTCTCCTTAGCCGAATAAGCATCATAGTTTTTATCGGTATCTGTAATCGCAATCAAAAGGTGACGCATCGCAACGGTGTAATCGTTTCTGGATTCAAGTGCGATAAATCCTTTTTTGTAATTGTAATTCGGACTTGTCGAGTTCATTGTCAATAGTTTATCGACAACAATCTCTGAATGATAAAAATAGTCCTCCTGAAGCATTCTTGAACTTTCAAAGACAAGTTGCTGCTCCGAAGCAGTGTTTACCATTTTTCTAACCTCGAGTTCAGTCATTTGAGCGAACCCCAGGATTGGAAGAACGGCCAGTGCAATCGTAAATAGTGTTTTCATAAGTAATGCAATTTAGATCTCTCTGGAACCGTCAAATTGCTCGAGGTAATCAGCTACTCGTCGAACAAATTGACCTCCAAGAGCTCCATCCACTACGCGGTGGTCGTATGAGTGTGAAAGGAACATCTTGTGTCGAATTCCAATGAAATCACCATGTGGTGTTTCAATGACAGCAGGAACTTTACGAATCGCACCAAGCGCCAGGATCGCTACCTGAGGCTGGTTGATAATTGGAGTTCCCATGACATTACCAAAAGTACCCACATTGGTAACAGTATATGTACCTCCTTGAATATCTTCCGGTTTCAAATTATTATTTCGGGCGTTATTGGCAAGTTCGTTTACAGATTTAGCCAATCCTGTAAGGTTTAGGCGATCTGCTTGTTTGATTACTGGAACAATAAGGTTTCCTGAAGGCAACGCGGTAGCCATACCGATGTTGATGTCCTTACGCTTGATGATCTGGTTTCCAGATACAGAAACGTTAATCATTGGGAAATCCTTGATTGCTTTAACGATCGCCTCCATGAAAATAGGAGTGAACGTAATGTTTTCACCTTCACGTGCAGCGAAATCTTTCTTCACACGGTTTCTCCAGTTCCAGATTTCTGTAACGTCAGCCTCAACATAACTTGTTACGTGAGGAG